TTAGGGTTTAGGGTTTATTTGTTATTATTATCATTAGGATAAAAGACAAGAAGAACAAGAGCAACTCCTGGCTCCCCTTTACACACATATTAGGGTTTAGGGTTTAGGGTTTAGATAATTAATTCATCGTAATATATACACGAACAAGAGCATCTCCTGCACCCCTGAACACACATTAGGGTTTAGGGTTTAGGGTTTTGAGCTTTTTAGGGTTTAGATGAGCACTCGTCGCTGGTCATCACAGAATACAACAACAAGAGCGTTTCCTTCCCTTCCTACGATTAGGGTTTAGGGTTTAAGGTTTATAGGGTTAATAGTTATTATAGAATACAAATACAAGAGCTGCTCCTTCGTCTCCGCCATACATTAGGGTTTAGGGTTTAGGGTTTCCATTAGGGTTTAGTATTTCATCATAAAATAGAAGAATAAACCCCTCGTCGTTCTCTGACCCCACCATATTAGGGTTTATAAAATTAGGGTTTAGGGTTTACATTAGTGTTTATATAATAAATAATTAATATCCTTAATAATTCATAATAAAACCCTAATAAAAGAATATCTCTTTCTCCCCCTATATAAGATATAAACCCTAATCCTTTATTTCCTTCCCTGCCTTTGGTACCCCATTAGTGTTTAGGGTTTAGGGTTTATGAGTATATAACGAATAATTATAATTCATAATAAAAAAAAACAACAAAAGGAACACCATTTCTTTCCCCCCCTTAATACATAATATACATACCCTTCTCTCTAACCGAATTAGGGTTTAGGGTTTAGGGTTTAGGGTTTAGATAATTAATCTTTGTAATTCATCATAGAATACAAGAACTAATGCAGCTCCTGCTCCTCTTAATACATTAGCCCATGCCCCCTTAAAGAAACCATGCATGCCCTCTTGTTTGTATATTTTACGCCAACAATCAATAGTATTTATATATTGAATATCTTTTTGTGTCTTTCTTCCTGCCATCATCATCATTCTTCTCCTTACTGTATCAAAGGGATAAGAGATTACTCCTGCTGCTGCTGTTACTGATTGGGCAATTAACCATTTAAATAATATATTATTATTATTTAATTTATATTTATTATTATTATTATTATTATTATTATTTATTTCTTTATTATTTATAAATAATATTTCCTTTAATGTATCATATAGACCAAAATATACACCTCTATATACAATTATACCCTGTACAGACACCGTAAATCCTTGATAAAGGGAGAAGAATCCTGTTTTATTATTTATTTTATATAAACAATCAATTAATCCATTAAATTCTCTTTCTTTTCCTTTACCTAAATCAGATGCTAGTCTAGTCCTAACAAAATCTAATGGATATACAATAGATAAGGAGGAGGCCCCTGCTAGGGCCCCTGTACCTATATTAGATAAAAAAAAGGGTATAAATTGTTTATTTTTATCATAAGAAGGAAATAATGATTTATATGTATCCTTAAATGTAAAATTAAATGCTTGTGTAGGGAAATATCTAATTACATTAGCTAGATTACCCCTCCATAAAGAAATTATTCCTTGTTCCTTACTTACCCTAATAAAACAATCTATTATTCCCTTATATCTTGGTATTCTTCCTTCTTTTATATCTATTATTGTATCTTGTGTCTGTATTAACATTTTTACTCTCTCTATTGGTGCTACTATTGTCTTAGATACACCTGCAGATACACCACCTAATATAAAACTTTTACCTACTTCTCTTATATTCATCTTCTTATTTGTACTCATTTCTTTATTTTCTTTCTTATTTATATTTTTCTCTCCTTTTACACCCTCCATCTTTATATATTTATTTCTTCTTTATCTTTTTTATTCATATATATATATATATATGTATATATACATATATGTATGTAGAGCTATATTTAGCTGTATATATACACCCGAATAATACTTGAATATTTATATACTCTTTTTCTTCTTTTTCTTCTTCTTTCTTCTCTTCTTTGCACCCAATAAATAAATATACTTTTTTATCAACAACAAAAAGAAATATCCTCTGAAGGAACAGACTCCTCTTCCTTCTCCTCCTGTTGTTGCTGCTGCTGTTGTTGTTGTTGTCTGCTGCGGCTGCTGCTGCTGCTGCTGTCTGCTGCTGCTGGATGGATTGATGCATGGATGGAGATGGAGGGGTATGGAGAGGGAGAGGGGAGGTATATTTATTTATTTATTTATTTATTTATTTATTTATTTATATTTATTTATTTATATATTTTATTTAATTAAATAATTAATTAATTAAATTATACATATATTATATTAATAATAAGGAAGTATGTATGCATGTATATGTATGTATAACTACTCCTCCTCCTATTCATATGTATATATGTATATGTATATGTATATGTATACGTTATGTGTATACACGTGTCTTTGTCTTATATAAGACACAATATTTATATTTTATTTATTTATTTATTTTTATTTATTATTTATTTTATACTAAAAGCAGCAAAAGCAGCACCAACTGCAGCAGCAGCAACAACTACAGCAGCAGCAGCAGCAGCACTACTCTCCACACACCAACTTACTGCCCACTGACTGCTGCTCCAGCAACCGAGCATTATTTTGCTGCTGCTGCTGCTGCTGCTGCTCTTGTTGCTGCTGCTGTAGCTGCTGCTGCTTCTTCACATTGTATATATTTTTTGTTATTTTTGCGTATATTTTTATATTTTTGCGTATAAATAAATATTATTTATTTATTTATTTATTTATTTATTCTTTTATTTCTTCCTTTCTTCCTCTTTTTTCTGTGTGTGTCTGTGTTTCTGTCTTTACTGCTGCTGCTGCTGCAACAACAGCTGCTGCTGCTGCTGCTGCTGGTGTAGTGTAGCTCCTGCTGCTGTATTGTTAAGAATGCGACTTGGGTTGCTGCCAGCTGCTGCTGCTGCTGCAGCAGCAGCAGCAGTTAATTCTTCATGTAGTATAATAAGAAGCAGCAATAAAGTAACAACATCATCAATAAGAATATTTTTTTCTTCTTTTTCTTCTTTTCCTTCTTCTTTCTTAACACACAATAAGAATAAATATATTAATATAACAGCAGCAACAGCAACAACAAAACCATCTTCTGCTGCTGCTTCTGCTGCTGCTGCTGCTGCTGCTCCTCGTATATTATTACGGCAGCAACTGTATCCTATAGCAACAATGTGGATATTTAATGCATGGCGTAGTACCTCTATAAAGGGATTATCTACTGATTCTTCTTCTTCTTCTTCCTCCTCCTCTTCTGATTTATCCTCTATGGATTTTTATTCATTAAAGGCAAAAACAGCAAAAGGAGAAGAAATATGCATGCAGGCATATAAAGGAAAAGTATTATTAATTAGTAATACTGCTACTAAATGCGGATTTACTAAACAACATCTTAAAGAATTTCATGAATTAAAAGAAAAATATGGAGATCAAGGGTTCGAGGTAATAAATAAATAAATAAAATAAATAAATAAATATAAATAAGTATATATTTATAAATAAATAAATAAAGTATTATGGTTACTTGCTTATTTTATCTTTATTTATGCTTATTTAATTCGTGTGTGCTAATAGAGGTGCTTATTATACACTAATTATTAATGTGTATACACTATAGGGAGAGAAAAGAGGAAAAAGTAGAAAGAAACATGAATTAAGATAAAAGGAGTTATAGGTATATAGAAACGCAGCAAGAAATAGGAAAATAATAGAAATAAAATAAAAAGAAAGGAAATAGTTACACAGTAAATAATAAGGAAGAACAAAGCAGTAAAATAAAAGAAATGATGTAAATAGAGAAAAAATAATTCAATAAAAGTTGAATGAGGTGCCTATACACCCGAGAAAAATGAAGAAAAGTTGAATGAATAAAAATTCATGAATAAAATGTTTTAATCATCTAATTTCTTGATATTCATGAATTAAATTCAATAAATTAAATAAAATATATTTAATTCTTTTTTTTTTCCTCTTTTTTTTTGTGCAGATATTAGCTTTCCCTACCTTACAATTTAAGCAACAAGAAGAAAAGGATCCAGAGAAAATGTGTTCTCTTTATAGTAATCAATTTAATGCAAATTATCCAATCTTTGCAATAACTGATGTTAATGGACCTAATACTCATCCTGTATTCCTATACTGTAAATATAATACAGACGAGGTGCGGCGAGGGTTTAGGGTTTAGGGTTTAGGGTTTAGGGTTTAGGATACACGTATGTCACTGAAGGACTCGGAGAAGTGTTTAGGGTTTAGGGTTTAGGATTTGTAGTTTTTTATGGATAGGAAGGGTTTCGTTGGGAGTGTTGTTCATATATTAGATTAGTGCAGTCTTAGGGTTTAGGGTTTCGGGTTTAGGGTTTAGGGTTTTGTGGTGTATATATGCTTATATGATGTATCTGTATCCATTTTTCCCCCTATAAATTGCCCATGAATAAACACGAATAAAATAGATAAAATGCCCTAATAAGATAAATAAAATAAGCACATTCTCTTTTTTTTTTTCTTTTTTTTTTCTTAGTTATATTCAAAGGATTCGCTGCATGCAGTAGGTTGGAACTTTGGCAAATTTTTGTTGGATAGAGAAGGAAGAGTATATAATTATTATGGACCCCGTACTCCTCCTGATTCCTTAGATGAAGATATAAATAAATTAATTAAAGGAGAGGTACAAGGAAAAAAAAGAAATAAAGAAGGAGTATTAGAATAAGCAGCAGCTACTGCAGCAGCAGCAGCAGCAGCAGCAAGAACGGCTGCAGCAGACGCCGCAGAGGTATAGATAGACCCTCTTAATTGTATGCATGCAGTGCACAGGTATTTATTTGCTGCTGCATGCAAGGACAGCAGCAGCAGCAACAACAGCAACAGCAACAGCAACAGCGGACAGCAGCAGCAGCAACAGCAGCAGCAGCAACAACAACAGTTTTGTTCTTATTAAACAAGAGACGCAGCAAATGCGTTTCTTTTCTTTCCCTTATAACAACAAAACTTATATATAAAC